GGTTTAACTTGTACATTTCTTCTGCAGATAGGATGGTTTGTTCCTGAAAGAAAATTCGCAGTTATAAACTTGTTTGCACATTTTACAAATCGCCACTCAATTGTTGCTGTGATACTGACAACACACCTTCAATAAATCGTCTTTATCGTCCTTCTCGAGACATTGTGGTTCGTAGGCTTTGTCGTCATCCTCCTCGGCTTCCCACTTCTACGAAAAACCGAATACTCGTAATCATATTTTCTTTTTTCATAATTTATCTCAGCTGAACCAGGGKGCGTTACGAGTTTGGCTYAAAATCGTCAATGTTCTTTTTTTCTTATTTTGTAGGGCTACCTGTGGATTTGGAGGGAATTTTCGCGACAAATCGCGTGTGCTAGCCTCTCAAACCCTGACACTTGCTATGCCACTGCTCAGTCCAGTCTTCCTCACCTTCAACTCTCTGCACGARGGAATCTTGTTTGTACAGCCAGTTATGTCGCAATCCGTTTTGAAAACGTTGACTCGTGATTCTTCAACAAAAACGTACCAACATCATWAATGAATTGTCTTACAATTTCTGTGAACTCCAGATAGTCACCCTTAATGATCACAGTGTAATTCTCACCTTTCTCCTGTTTTTCGCTTTCCTCTTTTCGTTCTTCCATTTCTTTCCCAATGGTGGAATTTTCTTCTTGGTTTGACACGCTAACGAGAAACAGAAATTTCATATGTTCTAATTTGTAAAGCAAATGAATTATCCTTTGATWTTAAATAAGATCTTCCTTATCTTTAGTTCAATTCACTCGTCTTTGACTTTTATTATCACATGGAAATATACTATTTATTCTATTCCYATTGCTATTCTCTTTACTCACGTTTCTGATGGTTTTGTATCTTCTAATATGGTGTCGGTTTCTTCCAATGAAAAATTACCAAACTRAAAAAGAACAAGTACATTCGTTGTTTTAGTCGATCAAGAAGCTTTCTTATCTTCGCCTGATCGCAGAACCACAGCTCGTTATCATCTTGATGGGTTATGCACTAATAATCTTTTTAGTATCACTTCTGAGCTCAGTATCGCCATCTTAAAACACAGTGTACCCTGCCTGGGTAGGGAAAGTATGATTTAGTTTCCCTCCTTTTTCTAATCTCCAGTCCCCTTGTACCACCGAGCAGGCCAGGTTACTCATATGTCGTCTATCACCGAAGATACTCACCAGTACCGTCTCGTCACTAGTGTCGTCCATGTCAAATGTGAATACCAAGCCAGGCTCTGTTAACAAAAAA